AAATCTGTTTACAAATTGAATAGTATTTATTTACGTAAGAAATCAGAATATATCATTAGTTGTTGTAAGCAGGATATGCATAGGGTTGACACCAGTGTCCTTGCGCTGGAATAATTCATTTTTTCTTGTTGGAGAAAGTTCTTGCAAAAAATCCCGCTGCCGCGCACAAGTCTTTACAAGTACATATTTCGTTGCATTTTTACATCAACATGTCTAATAGTTTGTTGCCACAGGTGCACGTATTCTTTTATGCGCTCTTTAACGTTCAGTTTAGAGTGCTAACAAAGGGGTCTAGATGTATTTCATGACTGCAGTGTGAATTCTATTCTGGTTTGGTTAATAATTGACCATAATTAGCGTGGGAAGACTTGGCGAGTGCATAGTACATCATATCAATCGATTTTGGGAAAATGGGTCGTCGGGTACTCTTGACTAATAGTCATTATCTTTGCATATAGTCAAATGAAACCGATGTCAGTGTTCATATAATCGTCCCAATCACCCCAAAACGCGTTTTTACATTGTTAAAAAACCTCTTGAGGAAACTAGATCAATGGCAAAATGGGACGATTATAGATATTTCACAGAATTCCTGTCAGTTTTCATACGTCAGGGTAGGCTTCTTTACAGCAGTCTTGCAGCATTTTATGTGGGTTTATTTCATGTCGTTCACATGCACAAAGTGACTCTAAGTTCTGTAAAAACAAAAAAATCAAGAAATATTTTTTTAATCGCTCATTTTAACTTGACGATAAGTTATATAGCTAATGGAGTTATCAAAGTGTTAAAATTTGCATCGCCCTAAAAGAGACGTCGGGCATAAACCGCGCAACTAGTGCTAAAATAAGCGCTAGTGACTAATGAAATCCACGGCGTCCACGGCCACTATCACCACTGCAAAAATGAGTGGATGACTGGGTACGAGAAAGAGGAATGCAATTTTTATGTTTTGCGAGTTTTTTGTAATTTTGTAATACGCAACACTTGAACTGAAACACTTTCAAAATGCACAAAACTATAAAGAAATGTAATGTATGGTCTGGGTAGACCACTGTAAACTTTGAAGGTCAAGCAAATCGTATTGGCCGGTACATAAAGTTTGAATGTATTGGGAATTTACTATTTTACAGTGCTTATTATTCAGGCTTCATCAAAACTACAAGTAACTCTCCAACATAACCAATTCAGTATCACGGTAATATATTGTAGGTAATGCATTTATACACATCATTTTT